TTATATAGTTAATTGAAGTATTGAGAACCTTATTTTTATTATTATCACAGAATTTAAAATTATTACCAAGCGAAACAATGTTAGTGACATCCTCAGGGATTTCATTATTAGATAAATTGACGAACCAATTAGGTTGTACATTAAACGGATTATTAATACTAAAATTAAAATTTTTATTCTTTAAAAAATTGAATTTTTTATCAGATTGTTTTTTACAGTCAACAGCAAATCTACAAGATTTTTGTTCATGCAGATCGAATATTGACCGTAAAATCACCGAGGGGAAAGAATTACTCATGTCAATTTTGAAGTTTTCCAATTTCTTACGCAAATAATCAACATGAATACATTTGTCCTCAATGAAAAAATTAAGTAGCTTATTCTTGATATTTTTTAACAAAAGGTTATATTTTCTTAATCCAGTATTACTGTGAAAAAAGAAATGGTCCAAACTGCTTTCAATTGTGTCAATGTGTTTAGGTGTTATATCGTACGTACGGCAATTCAATAGAAATTGGAGTTGAATATTGAACCTTGCGATGTCTCGATTAACATCAATCCATTTTTTCAAAATACTCCTTTGGTTGTCAGTTGAAGTAAAAGCAAATAGATTAGAAGCACCATCACTTCCATATGACCGTTGTAGATCCATGGTCAATAATAAATAAATAAAATGATTTTATCACTCGGTCGATATTAAATAAAAAACATGAAGATAACCATCACTCCGAGTCAAGGCGAACAAAAGAAAACAAAACTATTTCTTTTTACGTTTCAGCAGCACCGCTGCCCTCTTCAGAAACTACAAGATTTTTATTAATAAATAATTAAAATTTTACATATATAATTTAAAAAGTACAGTAAAAAGGTTTTTACCAATAAAAAAGAAAATTTTCTTCAAGTAATTCATTTGAAGATGAAATAATTGGAGAGGAATAGACGTCTGTACGATAGGCAGTCTATCTAAACATTGAGTAGAAGCACGTGGCTTGACAATTATATAATGAGGGGGTCAACGGACCGTCAGTAAACAAAAATACAAATATATATATTTGTTTTGTTTTCTTTTGTTCGCCTTGACTCGGAGTGATCGTTATCTTCATGTTTTTTATTTTTATATAAAAGTTTCTATTGTTTCACGCAAAAGCAACTATTAATAACAATATAAAAAAATAACACATGAGAAAAAAAAAGAATATGAATTAAATAGAATAGAGTTACTAAGTAAAGTAAAAGACTCAAAACTTTTTTGGGAAATAATTAACCAAGTAAAAATAAAAAAAAAAAGATATATCAAATGAATTAGACTTAAGTACGTGGTATGAATATTTGTTAAATAGTTTTCCCCCACAAATCCCAGTTTCAATGGAGTTACCTTACCAAACTGATCCAATCTTAGACACAGAAAAAACGATAAAAGAAATTATAGATAGTTTGTTAAAATGTAAAGGGGAGAAAGCTCCCGGACCAAATGGAATAAACGGGATATTTTACATGAATTTGCCTCCGGATTGGATTGCGTATCTTGGTATATTTTTTAATAAAATTTTACAAGTAGAAAAAGTCCCTAAAGAATGGGGTAGTTTACAAATGTCTATGCTTTATAAAAAGGGAGACTTTACAGACCCCCTTAACTATAGACCAATTACACTAGTAAACGTATTGACGAAAATATTCACCCAGATTTTAAACAAGAGGTTGACTCTGTGGGCAACTAATAATAATTTATTACCAGAATTTCAAACCGGGTTCCGTCAGAGAAGAGGCTGTATAGATAACCTTTTTACGTTAATGTCAGTGGCGCAAATACATTTTCTAAGAGGCAACTCATTTTTGTATGCAATCTTCGTAGATTTTAGGAGTGCATTTCCGTCAGTCGATCATCAATTACTATGGATGAAATTAAGTAAAATGGGAGTAAGTTCTAAAATTTTAAATATATTGAAAGACTTCTACAAAAAAGCGAATGTTTGTATAAAATCTAATTCAGGAGTGACTGACTCAGTTAATGTTACAAGAGGCGTTTTGCAGGGCGAGGTTCTCAGCCCTCTACTGTTTATACTGTTCATTAGTGACCTAGAGGAATTTTTAATCGGCGAGGGATGCAATGGAATAATAATAAATAAAATTATACGGATAGTTTTATTAGCATATGCAGATGACCTCGTCATTCTGGCAGACACCCCTATGGAATGCTCTCGAAAATTAAAATCTTTATCTCGTTACTATAAATTAAATAAATTAAAAGTTAATATATCTAAGACAAAGATAATGATATTTAAACAAAGTAAATCTAACAATATTAAGGCTTTTAAATTTGAAGACGGGTCGATCGAGGTAGTGAACGAATTTAATTATCTTGGCGTTGTTTTCTCAAACCTGATTTCTTTTCCATCTACATTAAATAAAATAAATAGTTCGGCAAATTTGGCTATCTCGACTTGCCTAAATATCATTCACAACTTAAAAGCAGATTCGTGGGAAACTTATAAAAAAATATTTCAAAGTTTTGTGTTAAATATCTTATCATACCCAGATAACAAACGTGCCAGGCACGTTAGCCGCCCGACGGTCGCCAGTCATGGTGCATGTTATTAAGCATGTTTCGTGCCGCTCAAAATTTAACGCGACCAAAAGTTACCCGCATTGTGCCGGACGCGAACGACTTTCGCGAACCTATTGTGCGTTGGCCTTTATTCCCTCTGCGCTGCGCAGTCTTTTTCAGTTTCGACGTTGGTTTCGACCATTTGTACACGCCATTTTCATAAAGGTTAACGTCTTCGTTACAACGCGAATTGCAACTATTGCAAGTTTATTTATATGTGATATATATGCATCAAGTGGTTGAGTTTGAGGTGAATTTTGTTTTTTTAATTTTGTAGTGCAGTGCTGATTATTACAGAAGAATTAAATTCGGATTAAGTGAGTATGTTAAGATTAATTGTATAGTTTTTCTTCTTCTAGCGACCGACATGCGTGGCCATGCGGTCTACTATTAATTTTGCTTTAAGATTTCATTTATTTATAGTGTATATTTTTTTGTATACAGAAATTTTGTCTTTTTTCCTTCTTGTACTCTATAAATATGTGACGCGACGCAAAAAAAGGGGACCTAAGAAGCTAATAATTATAAGGTTATGTTAATGTCACTTTTACATTGATTAAACGTTTTTTTTAATTGTTTAACAATAAAATCAGTTTTTATTACATATTTTAGATTTAACGAAGACTTAAACATCAATGGTTTATATTGAGAATTGATCCCATTTTACATTTTCATTTCAAAAATTCAAACATAACCTAAAGTTTTTGTCTTCACGACGCGTCACATTATATTTTTATTGTTATTCGTTTCATATTATTTCTCTCTTTAATGAAACTGATTTTGTATGGTTTTATTGTCCACTATTAATACTTAATATTTATTAATAGTAATTAATTAGTAATTAATAATTAAAATTGTTTTTTTTAATTGAACACCTCTTGAACGTCTTTCATCAGGGTAAGGAAAAAGTTCAAAATTATGTCTGGAAATCAGAGAATCAAATAATAATCAAATTTTTGTGGCAATCCTGATATATATCAAATCAATTGTTTAATTTATTATTTTCATTTATTAATTTCCATTAAAATTCTTATTTTTGAAAATAATGGTAATATATTGTTACATCCCGAGCGAAAGGCGAGGTTGAATTTAATTTTAATTAATAAAATCAATTTTTAAATTTTGGAGGAATGGTAGGCTGATTAAGTCAAGTTGGTAAGGCTTGACCATTTATTTTTATGTGAGAACGTTTGTTCCTATCGATCCTATGGGGGTCGTCTTTAAGTAATTTACTATTAAATAATTGCCTTTCCACTTATAATTGTTAAGTTAAATATGAATAGTTATGATAAATTTAGGTAAATGAGAAATTAATAAAGAATTTTATTAATTTAAACTTTGTATAATTTATTAATATAAATGAATTGAACTCAAAATATTACAAAGGTGTTTTAGTGTAAAAATGTTGTTACAAAGAAAATTGTGTTTATAAAATATATTACTTACAATTACCTCTGTTCAGAGGGCAGAAATGAATATAAAACAAGTTGGCACTTGTCAGCGACGCTGTGAGTTTTTACAACTCCTTAAAAGGAACAGTTGGGACTTCTTCACAGTTTTTTTTAGTTCGTAAACTCCGAAATGCACACACGTCACGTTTGCAAAATCGATAAATGAGAATACACTAATACGACGATTTATTTTAAATTTCAATAATTGACAAGCTCACAAATCTGGCGATGATGATTACTTGCTCAAAAACCGAACAACGAGTAAACATATACTGTTTGAGATGCAAGAGTTACAGTCGTAGAACTTTCAAAATAACCGAAGGGTCAAGCTTCACGATGGTGAATTTACTTTAAGAAAATGAATTATAGAATGATTCCGGAGCAACTGACGATTGACAATGGATTTGCATGGGTTTTTATACTAGAAAATTACCCTCAGTGGGAGTAAATAAGTTCAAAGATCACCCCATCTCTAAGCTTGACTCTTAGATTTTCATAGAACTGTAACAATTCTCAGAGCTTAGATGAACACCTGCATCCTGTATCGCATAGCACAAGTATCGCTATTACATTGTCTACAAGCATCTCACAATATTGCGACGCTAGAATACTGTGCTTGCGCCTCGCTAACGCTTACATGAGTCATAAGTCCACTCGCTGCTACTGAGTAATATGCGTAGTAGTGTCAAATGGCATAGGTTTAATTTCTAGGAATAGCCTACCAGGCTTTCGATATTCAAGTCAAAGGTTAGCCTATGCGATTTGATACAAGTGAGAAGTAGATCATTGCATAAGACTTTATACTTTATGCAGCTGCAAAAACAATTCCTAAGAATTAGCTGAAGCATTGCGTGGGATTCAAATTAGAAAAATTTTATATACTGAACATTATTTATATTTTTGAATAATGGCATTTTAAATGCTTTTAAAATGTATAAGATTTATTATTTTAAAGTAATAGATAACTGTATTTTAAATATAATAGCAAAAAGAATTAATTAATTTTGAAGAATTAGGGCGAAAACTAGTGTAGATAGTTTTCGCTCTTGTTCAACAACCACACGCGATTCCTCAGCATAGCCCTTCTGTAGCGGGAGGTCACCTTCGGTGATGCATCTACTCGCTATATCTATATTCACATATCCATGCCTGTACGCACTATATCTATATATATCGCTCGCTCGCGACGAGTCATAACATGCATGCAATTGCATATATATAGATATAGTCGCGCGTATATGAATATGAATCAATGCTTTTATATAATTTTTGAAATAATTATAGTTTTAAGATATTATTTTTAACTGTTTTAAATACAAAATAAATTTTATGGATTATTATTTATATATATATATGTATTGAACGAAGTTTAAAATTTGTTACTGGGATGTAACAGTCCTCCCTCCTTAGAATTGTTCAATGTCCCGATTGAACATGAAATTGTTTTTGGGCTGCCCTTTTCTTTAAAACGTGACGTTTCTCTCTTTTTTTTACAAAAAAAATACTCAGTTTCTTTCACTCATACTGTAAGGGTGCCAACCGCGAATTTCGATGATTTCATTTACGGTAAGCAAGAACAGTGCATAGATAGGAAGTTATGTGAAATTTTTTTTTTTTTTATTAAGCATTTATAGTGTGCAGTGTAATATGAGTAGTGTTATCGGTGATGTCTTCAGTCTAGTGATCTGTATTCTCTTGAGGATGATTTCATCTTCCTCAGCTGGCCATTGTCTCAATCCCAGCGCAATGATCTTCATCTCGCGATTTTGTCAACATAATCTCATCCTTAGATGTTGGAGTGGGAGTAATTATCCATTAGTAATTAAATTGTCATCATGGAGAGTGGACGCTCATCAGCATCGACGGTCAACTTAGAGGATTACTTGGCAGGTATGCATATTAAAAATTTTTTTTAATAATGTGGTATTTATTTAATTGATAAAATAATTTTGTATATTAATATCCTCTTTTTTTTTTTATTTTCAGGTCGAGTTCCTCCACAATGCCCGGTCTCTTTCAGGGCGTATATGGAGCGAGTCCTGGTGCTGTCGGTGATTTTGAATCACCATTTGGTGTCCTGGCAGCACCTGGATAATGTTCTTAGAACGACTCCAGCGCCTGTACGCCGACGAGGGAGGCCCAGCAGGGAACTCCTTGCCGAGGTCAATGTTAGGTTGGCCCAGGAACGAGAGTGGGAAAGGGCGCAGCGAATCGTTGGGGCCATCACTCAGGACATGTCTTTGGTTTTCCAATTTTTGAGGTTGGTATCCATATTTAGAATTAATTTTGTTTATGAATTTGAGAAGAAAAAAAAAATTTTATGTAATTAAAAAAAATATTTTTTTTTTTTTTGTTTTCAGATCTCCAAATCGTCTTCCTGGGTGCTTCTGTGGCAGGTGTCAATTGCGTGTGCCCATTCTTCCTGAAGGTAATTATAAAATTATTAAAACTTTCTTCCTTCTTCTCCTTTTTTTTTTTTGATGTAAATTGTTTTTTTTTTAATAATTTTTTCTTTTGTTTTATTTTCCAGCAGTTCTCCATGATGTCCAGAGGGTCTCTCCGGAAGTGGTGGACCTGTCACCCGGCCCTTCCAACTACGTTCTTCCTTCTCCTGGACCTTCTTCATCTGGGGCTGATTCCGTCGAAGAAGTCGAGATGGACTTCAAGGATGAGGTCATCGATGTGGAGATGCCCTGGTTTGAAGAAGTGACAGTGGAGGAATGTGCGGGATCCTCTGGAGAAACTTTTAATATTAGGGAAAAAGACCCTCTTGAATTGTGCGCGAATGACACTTTTAGTTATAGTGATAGTGATTAAGTGTTTAGATGTAAGTTATGTATATGTATATATATATATATTTAAAAAAAATTTTTTTTTTTTTTTTTAATAATATATTTTTATTTTGGAATGCGTCATTGTTTGTAAGTGTGTTTGTGGTGAGAATTGTAGTGTGAATGTGTGTGTGTTTTCAATAAAATATTTTTATATTTTTTATATAAATTCTTAATTTTAATATATTTTTTTTTTTAAACTTCCTTCCTGCATGGTCCTTACGAAAACCATTCTCTTTTTTTTTTTTTTTTTTAAATATTTATACAAAATTTAATACTAATTTAATATAATATAATTTTGAAATTAACATAGATAATTAAAGTTTCTTCTTCTTTTTTTTTTTTTTATAAAATATTATATATATAAATTTAAAATTCATTTGATAAAATATAATTAAAACATTTAGATATATGTAAAATGATCATCTCGTTATTAAAAAAAATTTTTTTTTTTTTTATTATAGGGTCAGTCGGGGTAAATCCGAACGGGGGGTAAATCCGAACGCTAATTATTTCAGCTTAATTAAAATTTTTAAAAATAAGTTCGATATGAGAATTTTTACCTCAGATCCTCTTGAAGAGATTCTAAGTATTATCCCATTTTTTGTTTGTTAATTAGCAACAGCATAAACAAAGATAACGAGTATTGCAAAAAAGATTGAAAATCAAAGATGACACTCTTTCAGTATTTTGTCTCGTATTTGAAGAAAAAGAAGCTAAAAATTCATTTTATTATTTATAATTGTTTGTTATGAATACTAGAACAGAAACTATATTTGATTTTTGCCTTCTGTAAAATTTTATTAATAATATCAAACCGTTCGTATTTACCCAAAAAAATTGGAAAACTGGGGTAAATCCGAACGGTATTTTTAATAATTTTTTTTTACTTCAAAGCCACACAAAATTGTTTTTATTTCATTACACTATTATTTTAACATTATAAAAGTACATAGAAAAAAGTTTTTCTTTCTATACGTATCCTCGTTAGTAATTAATAAGCAGAAACTTAATCTCTGTTCTCTCGAAGGAGTGTTTCAATTTTTTTGCCAAATGGTTTGTTGAAAAAAGTTTTTCAGGATCTTAATAAAATTTGGTATTCTACGGTTTTTGGGGTCGCTAATTACCAATTTGAAGTCAGTTTTTCAAAATTCAAAATGGCGGACGAGAATTAAAAAATTCATTGGATTCGCTCGAAAATTGTTACTCGGGGGGTTTCAGGGTTAGCAAATTTGATCATTTTTAAAAATAAGTTTTAGGAAAGTACGCCATTTTGAATTTAAAAAATTTGACTTTTATTTTTGTATTTACATTCAATCACTCCAAAATACTTTCTGTACCAAGTTTTGCAAAAATCCGTTATGATTTGATAAAGTTATTGAAGGTTTTAATTGTGTAATGCATTTTAATTTTTAACCTGTTTGATTTTTGTATTTATATATGATGCATTATTACATAATAGGTTTATTATCGTATTTTTTTTGAGTTTTTATATAAGTTTAACAATTGCAATACTTTAAATTTATTTTCCCTAAGATTTTTCTGAAATACAGTGGCGTTCGTATTTACCCCCATATTTTAGGAAAGTTGCAAAGTATCGAGGTAAATACGAACGCTAAGTTTCCTGCAATTGTAATTTATCAAAAAATTTTTCTACCCCATAAAATTGTTCTATGGAAGTAAAGTAACAACTTCATGCACCAGAATACCGGAAGTATTTTTTTTTTAAAGAAAAAACTTATGTTATTGTTGAAACTTACTAAAAGCGTTCGGATTTACCCCAGTTGACCCTATATATTTTTTTTTATTTATTTAAAATAAATTTTTTAATTTTTTTTTTTTTTTTTTTTTTTTTAATAAAATCAATATTAATAATTTTTATAAAATATTTCGGTTATTCAAATTTTGTTTAGTGGGCCAAAATTTTGAATAACGTGATGATCACTATAATTTTTATATTAGGGTAACATAAAGAGTGAAGGAGTTCACTCGCATTATACAATGCATCCTTATCTCTTATGTGGCGATGATTGTAGTCCATCACTGTCCATCTTCGCGTATCTTCTCTCTTTCTTTTTACTCATTTTCTGTCGCAATGACAATACACTGGTGCGACAATACTGTAGATGATTCATGATGCATGGTGCTTTATAACGAAACGCCTGGAGATATATATATATATAGATATCCATTCTTGCTGGGTATAATTTCTTTATTGATCCGCATTTATTTGAAATTAAATGTTCAAAATTTTATGCTCGTTGTCCTCCCTCCTTAAAATTTGCATCGCCCTCGATGCAATCAAGAAAATAGAGAGATATTTTATTGTCCTGCAGTAGCATTTCTTATTCTTTGGCGTCTCTGGTGCATGGATCTGCAGCAGGTATACATGTATCGAGCCATAATCATAATTATAATAAAGGCTATGACTCTGAAGGCAATAAAAATGTAGTTTTTAACATCGGAAATCCATCCAAATAAGGGCAATTCCATCTGTAGAATAGATATTTTTGTTTTTTAGAATATTATATATATATAAAATAATTGTATATAAAATAAAAAATTTATTATAAAAAATTTTTTTTTTTTTATATTTTTTTTTTTTTGTTTTTTTTTTTTTTTCTACGAAAAGGATATAATTTTATTACTTAAATAGAGGAAAGGAAGACAAAATTCCTGTCGTCTTTTTAAATATTATTTTTCATTATGTGTAAGGTGCATATAGTTATGATATATATATATATATATATATATATATGTGTAGGTTAATAATAGATAAGCATTGTAATTAATGTTACGTTAGTAATTGTAAATTTAAACATACATTCTTCATTAGGTTAAAAAGGATGATTACTGCGATTAGTGTTTAGTAACCTAAAGTTCTAACTTTATAGTAATAATAATATTGAATATAATGAATGATTGTAACTAAATACTATTAATAATAGGACAAAAGTGTGACAAGTATCAAATATTAATGTAGATCCATTAAGGCATATAATTCATAGTATGTGCTAATAATATTGATTAAGTAAATATTTATTCCTGAAAAATTATAGATAGTAACCGACTTGGTAAAATAAATTTAAAAAAAATAATTATGATATTATAATCATTATTACTTTTTTTTTTTTTTAATACTAAGCACGATAAAATTAATTGATTATATATAGGTAATTAAATGGTAATTCAAAACATGCTAAAAGTGTATTACGAGTATAAAATTAACTTAAGCATAGATGTGGATTATATTAATATAGACGTTACGATTCAATTCGAAAAATTAGTAATAATGTAAAAGTTGATGTTATTTAATAGTTATGAATAGAGTATTAACTTTATATTAATAGATAAATATAGTAGCATAATAAATTGTTTTTTTTTTTTTTTTTTTTTTATATATATATTTTTTTTTTAATGAATGACGAAGCTTTATAATTAATAAAAGATAGTTACTAATGTTTATATTAATTTTTTTTTAAAGTAAGATTATATATTGTAATATTATTATTAGTTATTAATATTAACGAAATAATAATATTTAGTGCCATTCAGTTGTCTTAAAGTTCGTTAAATTTATGTTTTTCTTTTATTTTTTGTAGGGCAGTTTTATATTAAGCTAAACAGTTGACTCTCAAAGCAACATTGTCTGAAAATTATAGGATCTTATATTTTAATTATAAAAAGTGAATAAGTAATGGATAAATACAGTTTGATTAAAATACTTTTAGTAATACTTACTAATATGGTAATATAATATTATAGTGACATTTTGTTTTATAGTAAAACAAAATGTTCCTATTTAATTAGATGATAATATTTTATTATTTAAATCATGTCCATTAAAATTATATTTAAAGTAAACAAAATGAAAAATATTTTTTTTTTTTTTAATTTTTTTATTTTTTTTATTTTTTTTATTTTTTTTTTAGCGTTACTAGCATGATTAATAAGCAAAGCGTTCTACAAGCAATCAGTTAGATATTCTTATTTTAAGCGAATATTGTTTTCTATTATAAGTGATATAGGGCATAATTAAGTAAACCAAAAAAAAATTAAATGCGAGAGAAATTATTGTAACTTAAATTACTCTTATAGTACTAATGTTTCATGCATTATTATTCTATAATTATTGAAGCGACACAACAAAGGCAAACAGCAGCATATATATATATGGTGTTAGTATTATATTTAAGTTGTTAGTAATTGAAAGAATATGTACACCTTGATTATATTTAAGTTAGTTATATAATTATACCAATACCTATACTACTACCTTTCTTTCTCCTTTCAATATATATATTGGCATATATATATTTTAAAAAAAAATTTTTTTTTTTATTACCAAATTTCTTCGGTTTTGGCTCCAATCACTTTAGTGTGGAATTTTTTATTCCTTATCACTCCTCGACAGTTATGTTTAACGTGCCCTCTTGCATAACATAATTGACAAGAATTCTCCCATTTGAATAATTTTATTCGCAACATTTTTCTTGTACAATCCAGGCAAAGGACATATGAATCTTCTTTCTCGTGGATAGTGTTTTCTTCTTCTGAAAAATAGTATACTTCTTGCAATTTGGCCAAAATCTTTTTGGCTGCTGAATGCTCCGATTGTTTTTTTGTGGTGCATCCATCCCCGATTTCCACGAATTTATTTTTGTGCACCTTGTCTTCAATTGAGCACTTTAATGTAAAATGATTTGGAATTTTTAGATCCGTACTCCTCACGCTCCAAAGTGAATTCGGGTTTGGAGAAATTGTATTCAATGGATAATTCCTCCAATTTACCCTTAGGGAATTCATATTCCTCTATCCTTCCTTTAGGAAGGATATAGGAAGGTTTAATTTCTCCATGTAGAGGTTTAGCTTGATGATATTCAGCCATGGTGATCCTAAATAATTAATTTTATTAATATTATTTATAGATAAGCTAATTTTAGTTTGTCTACGTGTTTTTGAAAGAGTTTTCCTTCTTTGGTCTCTAAAATAATGTTACTTTTATCTAAAATTTTATTAATTTTATAAGGACCGTGATATTGGCTATCTAGTTTTTTATGTAATTTGACCTCTTTTTGAACATAAACCATATCTCCTACTTTCCCCATAAATGGTTTAACCTTTCTGTCGTAATACAATTTTGTATGTTGTTTATCAATTATTAAAGAACGGTGCTGAAAAATGAC